GCTATTTCGTAAAAATTTAAAATTCAAACGCACTTGAAATTTTTCCTATACTGATGCTTCGAGTTTTCTCTATAGCTACTAGAAAGAAAACTTACGGAAAACTTAGTGTTGTATTTTTAACCCTTAGTTATAAACACAAAAAATTGTATGATTTTTCAACATACAAATTACTTGCAAATTTTCGCGTTTTCGACAGACTTCATAAATATATCAATAATTGTGACAAACAATTTTTAATTTTTTTTTGCTTTTTTTAGCAACGTCRCCTTATTTCTGTACAACAAATAATATTACAATAACAGCAATAGCCGACATAGAAAAGACAACGGTTGCGAGTCGGGACGGGCACCTAAATAATATACCACTATACATTTATTTTACTTATGTTATTTTAACAGGTGTGATTACAATATAGCTGATAATAATTGCAAAATAACTTACAATTTGGTAATAAGATAATTATAAAATATATTATTTAGCAAAATTGATGTAAATATAGAACGAAAACCAATTAAAATGTGCTTTCTTTTCTTAAATATCCTAATTTATAATAGTTATATTATATAATATTTAATTTTTAAAATAATTATAGGTACCTTAATACGATAAATACGATAAAATAAATACTGTAATATTATAAAATTATATAGTCTGCCCGTGACAGTGCAATAGCGAGAAGTAGGTGATTATTCATACATKCTTATTTAAATACTGTAATTTATAATGTCGAGTTTAAATCTTTTCAAAATTTTCAAAATTTTCAATTGTGAAACCTCTGGGAAAGTTAACGAGGATATAATTATTGTACTCCAAGAATGGAATTTAATTCCAAAAAATGGAGAATACAAATGCCCTCGTGGTCATACTTTAAAACTTTATCCGCGAAACGATTCTATCGATGGCTTTGTTTGGAGGTAAGTACCTATCTATCTGGCACCTAGTACCTAGTATGTAAGTACGTTCTAAATGGATCCTTTTTTAACCCAGGTGCCTTGAGAAATGTTCAATTAGGAATCAAAAAGCCTCTAAGTGGAACCTGATGGTATTGATAAGGAAAAATACATTTTTCGAAAAGTCACACCTTTTTTTTTTTTTTTTTTCATCGAAGACCGGGGAGGGACTTAACCCTAGGGTATTACTTCTCCCCGGCCTCCATCGTTTATTTAAAAAAAAAAAAACAACTTTACAACTTTCTGTGGGAGGTATACCGCTAGTCCCCATATATCCAACCCTTACAATTTCAATTG